TTTAATGCTCTCAGATGAAGCAACCATTCCACATGAGTGGCAAGGTCAACAAGCATAATTGCCATATTTGGGGACATGAAAATCCACATAAGTCTGCTGAACATGAAAGAGATTCTCCCAAAGTTAATAGGTGGTGTACTTTGGGGAAAAAATTGAGTCATAGGGCCATTCTTTTTTGAAGAGTGTATTGTTGATGCTATTTAGCTATTTAGAAATGCTGTGAAATTATTTTATTCCTCAGTTTGAACTGTGAGGACTGGTAGAGAATACAGTGTTTCAACCAGATCGTGCTCCTTGTCACTTTGCTTTGTATGTTAGATGGATTAGAAGAGGGGGACCATTTTCTTGGGCCAGATTTGACTCCACTGGATTTCTTTTTATGGGGACATGTGAAAATTAGTGTTTATTCAACCAAACCTCCATCTTTAGAAGACTTGCGAGCTAGGATAACTGATGTGATTGCTGGTATTACTGAAAAGCAGCTTGGAAATGTTTTCAGAGAACTACAGAATCAGATTATCCTTTGTGTGAGTAATGAGGTAGGCATGTTGAAAATTAACAAGAACAATTTTAAAAAATGTGTTTCTTCTTTCCAAAACAAACAAACAAAAAAGAATCGGTGGCTTAAAATTTCATTTCACTAATGAAAGGAAATTCTATTTCATTTTCACTAAAGTGTATAAAACATTTTCCTTCATATTTTGTATCACTTCAGATGCTTTAAACTTCAAGAAACATAAAACACTGCTAATAGTGGGTTAACAATAAGAAGCTTATTGCTACCTCACATCTCAGGAAGGCATCAGTTTGACGATGTAATTTCCTTAACCCTTCTCTAGTCGGTGGTCATTCTATCCATTTCTTATTTTATAGCATTTTTTTGAGGCTCTAGACCAGAAATGTAAATAGGGAGTCAGCCTGAACAAGATGATTGAAAAAATACCGAGCGAGAAGTTTGGACTGAAGAATGAGACAAAGGAGAAGATCCAGTGACAACTGCCCTCATCAGTCAGGTGCCAAAAGGCTATTTCCTGCAAAACCAGCTATTGCATCCAGGCAGAGGCATCTTGGTGGCACTAATATTATGTAACATAATGATAGTGATTTGTTAACTTCCACATCATTTCTAGAGTTGGCCAATATGCCTTCCTCACTCTAGGGTGCTATCTAGATCTGGCCTACCCCTGGGTAGCATGACTCGTGTTAGTAGCTGTCAGGGTTTGTTGTTTTGTTTTTTGCTTTGGCCAGGGCTGGGTTGGAACCCACCACCTCTAGCATATGGGGCCGGCGCCCTATCCTTTTGAGCCACAGGCACCACCGTAGCTGTCAGGTTAAGAAAAGGAAGTGCCAGTTTAAGGAGAAATGTGAGGTACAGCAGGTTGGGTGGAGCTCTTCTAGGTTCCTGTTAGAAGTCTCAAGGTTGGACTCACGTGAGGATTAAATGTATTTCCAGAACCATCCCAATGGCACAGACCCTTCTGAAGTATCGTTCCCCTTCCTGATGTTCTCCCTTCTTTGAAGTGCAGGGGACAACAGCTAAACCTATGCTGAAGTACCTTCCCTTGCCTGTGTAGAGTCCTCAGTAGAGCATCTAAGCCATGTCTGATCTTGTTTAGGGTCCTCATACTATGTTCTTTCTTTCTCTTCAGCTACAGCTGACCTACAGAAGTTCAGTTTATCAAAGACTTGTTACCATGCAATCTTTATGGATACAGCATTATCCTAAGAAGGACAATTATCTGATAAATGCTCCTAGAAGAAACACTCAGAAATCCCTTGAAAGGTAAATGGCAGCATAAGACACAACATGAAGCTTACAGGAAAGAATCTAGCATCCTACATACAACAGCTTGTTTAAAACTCCATGTTGATGATCACACTTCTGTAAATGCAATCTTCTAAATCTATGTTTTGTTTGCTTATTAAGTAATTCATTCACATGTTCAAAATTCAAAAGTATAATAAGTTTTACAGTGAAAAATGTCTTGTCACTGCTGTCCCTCGCCCACCCAGGTTTCTTGCTTAGGGACGGCTTATGTTGTCAGTATCTTATGCTTCCAAAGATATTAATGCAGCTCAAATAATATATTTGTTTTAAATTGTAACTTCACTTACATTTCACTCAGGGAACTACACTTTAGTTACCTTGTTTGAACTTGAGTAATACCATTTTTTTCCTAATTTAATGTGAGAACAATCCTTCCCCCAAACTATAGGTACAAACGTCTCATAGAATGGGTGACTTCCAAAAATATCTAAGTCACTTCAGTGTGGGCTGGGGATGGGATGAGGACTGCAGGTTTTCCAGTTTCACAGAGTATCTTTAAGTTCTAAGAACACCTTACTCTGTACTCAGATTTGTTCCCTTTGTACAGATTCTGAAGTCAACATGATAACAAAATAATGAATTCTTACAACAGGCTCTTCTGTTGTTCATTTTGTTGACCCGGTGACTTTATTGGGTTTTTGTGTTATTCTATTCTCAAGACACATCTCAAAACTCAAATTTTGTTGTTCGGAACCAGGTAGAGTTGGGCATATCCCCAAAGGAGCAGTGATGAGGGAGAAACTGAAAAGCAAAATCTTTTGCAATGCTTCTGATGTTTTCTGTTCCTTATTCTTTTATCCCCTTTTACACCCACACTACCCTAAATTACACCTTCAAAGTAAACTACCAGGGTACATTTTTTGTTTGTTTGTTTATTTTTGGTTTTGGAGACAGAGTCTCACTTTGTCACCCTGGGTAGACTGCTTTGTGCCACAGTTCACAGCAACCTCAAACTCTTTGGCCTTAAGCAATTCTCTTACCTCAGCCTCCCAAGTAGCTGGGACTACAGGCCCCCACCACAACACCTGGCTATTTTTTTAGAGACGAGGTCTCCCTCTGGCTCTGGTTCAGGCTGGTCTCAAATTCATGAGTTCAGGCGATCCACCCACCTCTGCCTCCCAGAGTGCTAGGATTATAGGTGCCGGGTACACTTTTAGATTTGAATATGTTAATTACTAAGTGTGATCAAGATCCTAAAATTATTGGTTCAGTCAGTTATTGTTGTTACCTACTGCCAGTAGGGGAAGGGAAGGCAAGAATTTATAGTCTATTCCATTTCTTCTGAATAAGGCAGTAACTAAGACCAGGGAGTTACCAAGTATTACTATAGATAATGTATAGATTTGGCCCAGTATCAGACAAACTTGTGCTTTCAATTATTAGGCCAATCTAAAAATTGTTACAGAATTTTCTTCTAGAATAAAAAAGTAAGCAAAATAAAGGAGTGATTTGATTTGTTTTTGTAACACTAGCATTGGTCTGGGTGGCTCTATCCACATACTTTCCCCTGGGTCCCAGAAGATATGGGTGTGCTATATGGCTTTCTGTAAAACTTAATGACACATGAGCATCATGATTACCAGGCACTCCCAATTCTTACATCTGCAAAATTAAAATAGTGACTTTAATGGGTGGCACAAGGATGTCCTCAGATCTTAGAAATGGCATAAGATAATGTCAAGGCCTTGTTATACGTGCTTACTGTACTCCTAAATTCTTTTATTAAGGAGGATAAATTTCTGGACACCCTAAGTACACTGAGAGAATGACACCTCAGAAATGGCTGCAGTTTATTGTTGGGAGAAGATACTTTTAAAATTTTGAGAAATGTTAGATCTTTCCCAAAATCCTCATTAGAAATGTGAAGCCTTCATTAGAAAGGTGAAGAGAGTTGACTCTAGGTCACACACCAAGTTAGCAGCAGAGCTAAGATATGAACTTGGATTTACTCCTTTCACTGTATTATGAGATCTGGAGTCTCCCCATTGTTAGAGTGGTAATATGTCCACCTCATATCCATATAACTCTTAGTGCCACATCAAATTCTGAAAGCACAATCTCTCATTTTGGCCCCTAAACAACCTCAGTCTGCCAGGGACAATAAATGCAATTGTTCTTACTCTGTAGATAAAGATTGCAACTCAAGAAGATAGACAGTAGTCTGCAACAGCAGCAAGACAGCTCAGCTCTTCCAATGTGCTCTTCAAGGCTCTTCCCACCATGACTTCTTGATTGGGGCCTTCTATCAAGGAAGTCTGGAAAACCAGTTTGAGATACCAGAATTAAAAAGACAGCTCATTGGAAATGAATGGTTACATATTTGTAAGTACAAAACTGAAATACTCAAATCTCTAGCTGCCTTTCCTGCCAGGAACTGAAATGTTAGACTGAGTTCTCTAGTTTTGCACAAATTCACAACAATTAAGACTGCACTGTGAGGGAAATACCTTTCTAAAAAAAGCATCCTAGTCAAGTAGAAACAAAAATTTTAATACATGACTTAAAAAAGAAAAAATGTTTATATAAAAATTGTAACACGTGGGCGGCACCTGTGGCTCAGTGAGTAGGGCGCCGGCCCCATGTACCGAGGGTGGTGGGTTCAAACCTGCCCCAGCCAAACTGCAACAAAAAATAGCCGGGCGTTGTGGTGGGCGCCTATGGTCCCAGCTCTGGAGGCTGAGGCAGGAGAATTGCTTAAGCCCAAGAGCTGGAGGTTGCTGTGAGCTGTAACGTCACAGCACTCTAGACTCTGTCTCTGAAAAAAAAAAAATGTAATACGTGAAATGATGGAAAGGGCTGTAACCTGGGGAGCAGATGACCAGTGTTCCAGACTTTGTCCCCTCCAGCTTCACACCCGGTGTTGCCCTAAGAAGCCACTTAATCTTTAGGTGATTTCGTTCACTGTAAAATGAGGGGACTGGTCAGTGCACCTATGTGACTTTCAACATAAGCTTGTACTCAAGCTTTGCATATTTAAATTCATAAATGTTCACTTAAAACGATGTACGTATATAGCACTAAGTTTACTTCATCAGAAGTCACGTCCCACCCCCGTCCCCGAGTGGGCCTCCTTGGCCACTCCAGGGCCTGGCTGGGCTCCGAGGTGTGCAGCAGAAGCTAGGCGGTGGCAGACAAGCTAAAAAAGGGCAAGCCCAGAGGCCTGACCCTGCCCCCTCGGCGGCTCTCGACAGTTCCTAATTCGGCGGCGGGTGCGTGCCCCGCTCCCCGGCCCCACCACCTGTTCCCGGCAGCCAATGGGGCGGCGGGGGGCGGCCGGGGCGGGGCGCGGCTACAAAAGGCCGGGGCCGGCGCGCGGCCGCCCACCCGGCTCAGCGCGCGCTCTCGGGATCCTCGCACCGACGCGGCCAGGCGCCAGGAACATTCCGCTCGTGGACCAGCCAGGCCGGAGCGATGCTGCGGGTGCGGTGTCTGCGCGGCGGGAGCCGCGGCGCCGAGGCGGTGCACTACATCGGGTCTCGGGTGCGTGCACCACCGGCCTTGTCCGGCGGCCGCGAGTCCCCCTCGATGGACTCTGCGCGCCGTGAGGCTCTCGCTCGCTCCCCGAAGCTGCCGTGTTCCCTCGCTTTTCCCGGTCAGAACTGCCTGACAATGGCCCTTTGGTCTTCCTTGGAAGCTCGGCTTCGAGCGCCTTTACGGGCTGCCCGGACCTGGGCGGTGTCCGCGGGGCAGGAGGGCGTGCACGGCGGTCCCCCCGCGCTGGTCCGGCTGCAGTCTGCCCGTCTCGGGCCGCGGTGGCCCCCGGCGCAGGGGGCGCCGCCCTCCTTGTTTGGACCTCGCTTCTGTCCACCGAGCTTCCCGCCCAGGGCGAGGGGGTGGGGACGACCGAGACTCCTCTTAGTAAAAGCGTGGCGTTGTTGGATTTCAGAGCCCTGGGTGGACGTAGAGTTGGGGAGCTTTGGGGAAATGCGAGTGGAGCGGGTGGGTGGGAAGAAGACGCGATCAAGCCGAGGGGGTGGGGGCGGAGGGCCAGCGAGCAGGCTCGTGCCAAGTGTAACATGGAGTCCTGAGGAGCGAGAGGAGTCGGGGTGAGTCCTGCCCGTGCGCGCAGTTTCTGCCCAGTCCCCGCCCTCAGCGGTCCTGAGCTGCCAGCAGGCCCCTGCAGACCCTCCCTTACTCCGGGACTGGAATAGCCTGGACAGTCTGGCTCCCCCAGCAACTGGTTCCTGCACAGCTGCCACTCTCCCTCTTGCTTTGGTCTCCACCTCTCCACCGCAGCTTCCCTCCTCTCCCCTAAGGAGGGCTTTGAAGAGAGAAGGACAGAGATTGGGGCGGAAGGAGGGTACGGTTTGTCCAGTGGGTGAGAGGGATGCTCCCCGCTCTAGATTTTATAGGCCCTACACTTTTTAAAGAGTTCTTGAAGTTCTTAGATCGCCTTTTTAGTTATTTAAATTGTGACTGAGTTATCTTGGCTTTTATCTTAGCCTTATCTTGGCTAGGGTACCGTGGACCATCTGTAAAATGTACCAGATGGCAGTTGGTCACTCTCAGTATTGAAGCGCTAAAGAATGTGAAGTGTATGTCAAAGATGAAAAGTTTTTTATTGGAAGCTGATTATTGTGAAAGACTTAAATACTTTGCAAACGTTCCACGTTTTCATTTGTTGAGGGGAAGTTACTGGTAATCTTTGATACTGAAGGGGAATGGAGGCTCCCTCCCCTTGTGGGCTTGGCAGGAAGATGTGGAGCAGCTTTCTACCGTTTTCTGAGAGGAGGGTTGACCCATCATTTGCACAAGTGTTGCTTAAAGCTTGATTGTGGAAACTCATCCTGAAGGCAGGGTGTGGTGACTGAGACCTGTAATCTCAGCACTCTGGGAGGCGAATTGAGGTGTTCGAGACCAGCCAGAGCCAGACCCCCATCTCTAAAGAATAGCCAGGCGTTGTGGCGGGCACCTGTAGTCCCAGCTACTTGGGAGGCTGAGGCAAGAGGATCACTGAAACCCAAGAGTTTGAGGTTGCTGGCCGTAGCACTCTACTGAGGGCAACAAAATGAAACTGTTTCAAAAAAAAAAAAAAAAAAAAAAGGAAAGGAAAAGAAACCCGTTCTGGGATATAAATGGGGGTGTATGGTCACGGGGGACATAATCTTTGGGATTTTAAAGAGTTACAGCAATTAATGGGTTAAAAGAGAATTTATAAACAAGTTTTTAAAAATCAACTATAATTCCACTACTCATGTATACACTGTTGATTTTAAATGACAGTGTTATTCTGAGTTTTCATCTTGTCTCTATTTCCTCCTTTCCCCAAGTATTACATAAGGGTACACAATAATCTTTCCTTTGTTCTTGGAAGCTTGGAAGAACCTTAACAGGATGGGTGCAGCGAACTTTCCAGAGCACCCAGGCAGCTGCGGCTTCCTCCCAGAACTCCTGTGCAGCTGATGACAAGGCCACTGACCCTCTGCCCAAGGACTGCCCTGTCTCCTCTTACAACGAATGGGACCCATTAGAGGAAGTGATAGTGGGTAGAGCAGAAAACGCCTGTGTTCCACCGTTCACTGTGGAGGTGAAGGTAAGGCAAAGGTATCGGAAAGTGGGCTCCCTCCTTACCTGCTGGAGCCTGGCTTCTGCTACTATCTCCTCTGTAACTGCGTTTACTTGGGCTTACTTCCCCAGACCTCCTGAATGCAGAGGTTAATTCTGAATTATCTTACTTGCCATCTCTGTGTATTTCCTTCTTGAAACTCTTGTCTTGGATTCTGAGAAACCTCTTCTGGGGATATTAGTTCCTTCACTGTTCCTCAGATCTTCCTCCTTCACAGTCTGTATTGTTGGAGTTGAGCAGAATTTCATTTGGCCTTCTTTTGGACATTCTCATACCTTCCCCCACCACCTCCACTCTGGTCCTGATCTCCCTCTTGAACTCCCTCTAAACACCTTACAGGATATTGCCATGGGACCTCAGACTTGGTGCATCTGTAATTCAATTGCCAGCCACCCTGCTAAACTGGACTCCACTTCATTCCTTCCTTTTAAGTTTTGGCATTCTTACTTAATTAAGCTGAAATACCAAAGAATCATCTTTGATTTCTCCTTCAGTCACATCCTCCATATCTATTCTCCAAGATCTAACAAATCTTTTGTCAAAATGAATCATGCCTCCATCCCTCTGCCTTAGGTCAGGAGTTCATGTGCAGCCTGGATTATGGCAGGTAACTCCTAACTGGACTCCTCCACTCATTCTTCTGTGCAGACTACCTTCCAGCTGCTATCCGAGTGATTTTTCTTTTTTTCTTTTTTTTGCAGTTTTTGGCCAGGGCTAGGTTTGAACCTACCACTTCTGGCATATGGGGCCTGTGCCCTACTCCTTTGAGCCACAGGCGCCGTCCTGAGTGATTTTTTTTTAAACCCAAATTTGATCATGCTGCTCATTCTGCTCTTTGCTCTTCTTTGCTAGCCTCCTGTTGTGTAGGATAAAGTCCTCATGTAATTCATGATCCTTCACAATCTGGCTCTGTCTGCATTTCTAGGACTCCCTGTTTAAATCATTGGTTCGTTTTAGAGATGTGCTCGTGTGCCTGGTTAGCAGATTGTTCATTCCTGTTTATGTCTCTCCATTCCTCTAATAATTCCACCCTGGTTGTCAGCAGACTTTACAAGATAACCATATAAGCAGCTAAACTATATTATTCTCTGTTCCCTGGAAAGCCCCATGTTTTTGCCTTTAACTCTTCCTCCCATCTTTTTGTGCCCTCTTACCTATAGTTTAAATATACCACCACCTAGCTCCAAAGAAACCTTCCAGTATTTTCCTGGCAACATATAATAACTGTTTTTTTTAAAACTCCAAGTGTTGATTTTTTAATCTGTGATATTCTTTCGGTCAGGGCTTTTGGGGGCTGGTGTTCAGGTTTTGTAGTGTTTGAGGGTCCCATACTTATGTATCTAAGAGAGCATCATCTACATTGTAGACACAGCCTAAACTCCCATTAAAAATGGTTGTAAGTATATCTTCAATGTCCTTAAATTCTTCCTGAATATTTTTATTTGTAATGTGGATTGAGGAAGTAAGTTCTATATCAGCATTGTCATAATCATTAGAAATACTACACATTGCCTGTTGTGTACTAGGGATCTAGAGATTTTAACACAAAAGAACTTCCTTCCTACTTGGAGAAATAACGATGTTCATGTGGAAATTAAGAGTGTATCTTACTCCAAACAGTTGGCAAGGCTGTTGAATTTTAGTGCCAGGAGAGTTAAGGAAAAAAAGTAATGACTAAATGCTAGTTAGAAAGTCTTTAAGAAAATGATTCTTGGCTCGGCGCTGGTGGCTCAGGTAGCTAAGGCGCCAGCCACATATACCTAAGGTGGCAGGTTCAAATCCAGCCAGGGCCCGCCAAACAACAATGATGACTGCAAACAAAAAATAGCCAGGCGTTGTGACGGGCACCTGTGGTCCCAGCTACTTGGGAGGCGGAGGCAGGAGACTCGCTTGAGCCCAGGAGTTGGAGGTTGCTGTGAGCTGTGAGGCCACGGCACTCTACCCAGGGTGACAGCTTGAGGCTCTGTCTCAAAAAAGAAAATGATTCTTGGCTCAGCTCCTGTAGCTCAAGCAGCTAAGGTGCCAGCCACATACACCAGAGTTGGCGAGTTTGAATCCAGTCCAGGCCTGCCAAACAATGACAACTACAACCAAAAAATAGCCGGGTGTTGTAGCAGGCACCTGTGGTCCCAGCTACTTGAGAGGCTGAGGCAAGAGAATCGCTTAAGCCCAGGAGTTGGAGGTTGCTGTGAGCGGTGATGCTATGGCACTCTACCCAAGGTGACAGCTTGAGGCTGTGTCTCAAAAAAATAAAAAAAGAAAATGATTCTTGAGTTAGACCTGGGAGACAGGGTAATAGAAAAAGTAGTCATGTCTTCTAATTGTTATGACACTATATCTGGTTCTGATATTTGAAATTTGATAAGCAGATTACCTTACATACCATCTACATGCTTTAAAAATTCATAGTCTTCTTAAATCTCTCCTCGAAAAGAAGTTGCCCCATCCCCTAACCATTTTAATTGCGTGAAATTTAAAGTTCAAATTCAGGCAATAATTTTTTCTTTCACTTATCTTTAGAATTATTGACTTTCATATCATGTGATCTTATGGAATCAGAATTCTCAGACATTATTTTGAGTTCTTTGTCACTTGATTTATGACTTTAGACTTTGTAGTGGGTTTGTGGTGAGTGTACCATGCTACAGTCAGAAGAGTGAGATTGAATTAGGTAGTTGATAAAAACTTGATAGCTAGTCTCAATTAATCAGCTATGTGACCTTGTGCAAGATTCCACAAACTTCTGGGCCCTAGGAAAATGAAGATGTTAAGACAATTTGCTATCCACCTAAAAGGATTAATCGGGAGGTAAAAAGTTACATGTTAAGTATTTTAAAGAACAGAACTATAATTCATTATATTTATATGTATCCTGTTGTCAGTTGGAAGGTCCATTGGAAGTGTCATGGTTCCAGATATTAGTAACATTTACAGAATTGTTTTTATTTGGTTATTTTTATTTTATGCCACATGTTAAGGCTGGTATTGAGGCAGAAGAAAGTAAATCTGAGACATACCCGGCCCCTAAAAACAAGGCTATGCCTTCTAGTGAAGAAGAATTGACAGAAATGTAATCATCAGTTTGGGAACAATGGAAGATAAAATAATGTAGTAGATTGTCTGTAAGCATTTAAAGCATAAGATGTTAGAGATATAAGTGTTACAGAAATTTTGAGAAAAGGAGTGAGGAACATAGTTGCTGGGAAGCACAATAATTAAAAGCTATTTGGCTTTTGTTTTGTAAAACTAAGTAAATACTTGCTACCAAATATATGATTTTTGTTTTGCTTTTGTCTTTTTTTTTTTTTTAATAAATGAGTCTTTATAAAGTACAAGGTTAATCAAGGTCAATAGGCTCTTTTACCTTGTCTCCTTCATGAGAGGGACCTACTTCAAACTCTCTTTGGAAGTGCTCTGAACTTTTTCTTAAAAAAAAAAAAATCAAAGTTAATATAAGTTTACAGCTGGATAAATAAGAAGTAAGTTTCTCTTGTCATTTCTTAGGCTTCCAAAGATAGTATTTAAAAAGTCATTTAGCAAAGCCCTATAAAGGATTTTAGGCTCTGAAAGATTATAAAGTTTACAGGAATGTAGCCACATCTCTGTAACAGATTATTAAAAAAATCACATGCTAAGCTTCTAATATAGTGTTCTTTATCTTACAGACAGCTTGGTAAATGCGCACTAACTCAGTTAGCAGGGTTATTAAGGAAGTGTAAACAATTTCTAGCTATCTCTTGGAAAATGTAATGTGCCCTGTCATTTGGACTTTGTCTAACCTGTGCCAGATTATCAGCTATTCATGAAAACTCACATTTGTTCAAACAACTTTTTTCTCCCAGGAGAGTTTCCTTTATATTTGTCAAGGCAAACTTCACCCTGCACAAATAGTCACGCAGGATTCTTTGGAATGAGGCTGGCAAGACAACAGACCCCTGCTTCCACTGTGACCCAGGGTTAAATTTTCAAAGGCTTCTTGTCCTTTAGAGGATTGTAGGAGATGTGCCTGGCATGAGAAGGAGGAAGTGGTGAAAAGATGAGTAGTACCAGGATGTGTCTGAGAAGAATTTATAAAGAGACATTATTATCCCCTCTTTCTGGTGGCGGTTGCACAAATTCCTAGGAGTAGAAAACAATAGAGTGCTTTTTATTTTATTTGCTTAAAGGGTAGATTGGTCTTTAAAAAATGCACAAATGTTTAATGCTGATAACATTTTCTGTAGGCTAAAAATTGAGCCTGCTGTTTGCCTATACTTTTTCAACAGCAAAGGTACTAATTTGTGATTTAGACCAGAGGTCAGCAAATTTCTCTGTCTAGTGCCAGATAACTAATGAGTATGCCTGTGTTCCTATAAAACTTTATTTACAAAAACAGGCAGCAGGCCAAATTTGGACCTTTATACTAACTCTAATTTTTATTTATTTACTTATTTATATAGAGTCTCATTCTGGCAGGTGCCACCATGCCCAGCTAATTTTCTGTTTTGGGTAGAAATGAGGTCTCACTCTTGCTCAGGCTGGTCTTGAACTCCTGGGCTCAAGTGATCCTCCCACCTTGGCCTCCCTGAGTGCTAGGATTATAGGCATGAGCCAGCATGCCCAACCTCATGTTTTCTAAAGACCTGTTTTTTTGCTTATTCTTTATTACCATTATACTCTGGGTTCCAGCCTAACTGATGTAAACCTAGATTAATTAACTAGCAAGAGGGAAGTCTGCTTATATATATTTTATATTTGTCAAACTGATATAAAAATGGAAGTAGAGACACAAAATCTAGGAAAGGTATTTCCTTTGACATTAAAGAAATAGTTATGTGGACATTGAGCCCAGTCTTGATGAGCAAAATCCATTGGGAATAATATAGACTATGTTAAACAATTCCAGTCTTAAAAGTTTTTATACATCAAGTTAAAGCTATCCAAACCAGCCCAGCCTCACTGGCTCAATCCTAGCATTCTGGGAAGCCAAGGAGGGTGGATTGCTTTAGCTCAGGAGTTTGAGACCAGCCTGAGCAAGAGTGAGACCCTGTCTCTACTAAAAATAGAAAAACCAACTGGTCATTGTTGTGGGCACTTAGGGTCCCAGCTACTGGGGAGGCTGAGGCAAGAGGATCTCATGGGCTCAAGAGTTTGAGGTTGCTGTGAGCTCTAATGCCATGGCACTCTACCCAGGGTGACAGAGTGAGACTCTTGACTCAAAAAAAAAAAAAAAAATCCAAACCAATGTAACGTAGCCATGCCCCTTCATGTATTAGCAATGCTGTGAGAGTAAGAGTCAGAGCACTTGAATTCTCAGTCCTGCTTGTGCAGGTAGCAAGAGGGTATGTGACTTCTTGAGCCTCTTTTCTTGCATGCGAAATGAGCATATGAGAACTTGCCCTTTAGGCAGCATTGCTGGGAGCACCAGATGACACAGTATGTAGCTAAAGTAGATACACTGGAGCCCATTACCCAGTTTTACCCTGTCTTTCTAGTACTTAACCACTATCTGAAATTATTCTATTCATGATGGAAACCTTCAGTATTGGCAGTTGGACGGTTAATGTATGGTATTTTTTTTTTTTTTTGAGACAGAGTCTCACTTTGTTGCCCTCAATAAAGTACCATGGCATTGTAGCTCACAGCAACCTCAAACTCTTGGGCTCGAGTGATTCTCTTGCCTCAGCCTCCTGAGTGAGTACCTGGGACTACAAGTGCCCATCACAACACCTGGCTATTTTTTAGACATAGGTCTTGTTCTTGCTCAGACTAGTCTGGAATTCCTTAGCTCAGGCAATCCATCCACCTTGGCCTCCCAGAGTGCTAGGATTACAGGATTGAGCCACCGCACCCAGCTTTAATGTATGGTATTAAATAAGCATTTTTAAAATACCTGCCTTAAACCTTTTCCAACACAAATTTAAATTTAAAACATTTTTTATCTTAAGACATACAGCTGTACCTTGCTTTGCCAATCTTTTGATGAAGGTCCAAAGCTTCTTCTTAGAGTCTGGATTATCTGATGGAGTTCTGCTTCATCTATCTTGATAGATGAATCGCATACATTTCCCAATGTATTTCTTTAAATTGACTGAAAATTTAGACACATGCAAAATAATCTGAATATAGAATCTTTCTAGATTTTTACATTTTTGAAAAACAATATTTTACAGTTGTACCTACCCCAGTTCAACAGTTACTTCTAGCAAATTGATTAAGCTATTAAGCATTCAGCTGTTTTCTGATTATCTTTTAAAATACATATAACCCCTGGAAAGTTTCTTAATGTTAAGGTGGGGTTATTTTTAGCTACTAAAAATCTGTGAATTTGTTTATTAGCTAACTTCTGTGACTAAAGGACCACAAAAAGATGTGAAAGCTTAAATGGCCTGGGGAGAGGAGAGGCATGGCTGGTATGAGACAGATTGAGAGAGACGTATAAGCACAGACTTGCACTGCTAAAGTTCCTAATGTTGTTGAATGGAAAAATCAATAATGGGTTTTTAATAGAAATAAAGCATATTTGAAAGTATGTTCCTGACCGTAACAGTGATAAAATACTTCTTTTTTCCCATAAAATATCTTGACCAAATTCTGGGGTGCATGAATAGCCCACAGCTTTGGCTTAGTATAAGTGCTTTTATTTTCTTATGTTATTTGGTTTGTTTCCTAATTTCATTTCACTGAGACCATAATGGAATGCCTGTGTCCTGTTTTCTACTTAAAGCATGATAGAAACCGGCCCAGAGGATTCCAAGCCTGGCTGTGGGCAGGCATGCTCTTATTGGATGGGCGTAAGATCTCAGGCAGAAGAAGCAAAAGACCTTAAAATATGAAGATAATTTAATTTAAGAGTTCTTTATTCAACAAACATTGAGTATTTGCCCATAGTGCCAGGATGCTCATTGCTAGAAATCACCAGTAAATAAAATGTGGTTTTGGGGCTGAACGTAGTGACTCATACCTGTAATCCTAGCACTCTGGGAGACAGAGACAGATGGATTGCTTGAGTTCAAGAATTTGAGGGCCTGTCTCTAAAGATAACCAGATATTATGAAAGGCAGCTGGAGTCCAGCTACTAGGGAGGCTGAGGCAAAAGGATCACTTAAGCCCAAGAGTTTGAGTTTGCTCTGAACTATGAGGCCACAGCACTCTGCTGAGGGTGACAAAGGGAAACTCTGTCTCAGAAAAAAAAAAAAAGATAGGGTTATAGTCTCAATTCCATTAAATTATACAAAGGCTTGTTTCTGCCTTGTGAACCTATCATGAGTTATTTTTTTCTCCCATAAGTATTTCATTTTCTTTCTTCTGTTCCTAGGCTAACACCTATGAAAAATACTGGCCATTTTACCAGAAGCATGGAGGCCATTATTTTCCCAAAGATCATTTGAAAAAAGCTGTTGCTGAAATTGAAGAAATGTGCAATATTTTAAAAATGGAAGGAGTGACAGTGAAGAGGCCTGACCCCATTGACTGGTCACTGAAGTATAAAACTCCTGATTTTGAGTCTACGGGTGAGTGATGTTAGATAACTAAATTACTGTTGTCTTAATTTTCAGCTTCTTAACATGGAAGGGGAAAGCTTACAGAATTTCTTGGAGATTCATTTGTATTACTAATTCTTCAAAACTTTAAAGATTATTTAATGCTCATAATTAAGTTTACCAGCAAAAACAAACAAACAAACAAAAAAAGATTTAGGAATGGTTTGGTTCATGTTGATATGATTCCGATAGGCACATTCTAAATTCCATTGTAAATCTGATGGAATCTTCTTTAAAGAAACAGTTTTTCCTAAACTTTATGGTCACTTCTTTACATAAGAACAGTGTATTCTATTTCATATTCCTCAAGAACAGAAATTAAGAAGGGAGTAGAAACATTTCTGTTTTCAACTTACATTGCTGCACTACTGTTCTTGTGCCTCAGTTCAGTATTCTAATTTATAGTTTTAGAATGATCCTTGGCCCGATTTTTATGTTATGTTACTGATAGTCTTTCAAGACCTCCATTTCTGGATAGCAAGAAAGGAGCTTACAAATGGTGAAAGCTTCATGGTTCAAGATTTCTTTGTACAAAGACTTTATTGCTTCATATTTTTTCTTTTTCTTTTTTTGCTTGGTTCCCCCACCTCCACACAAAATTTATACTAATCTTGTATCAATATTCATATAATTATATACATACACACATGTACAGGGGCTTAAGTAGGTTTTTTTACTAAAAATTGAGATTATAATATATAGGCTTTCTTGTCTTTGAAATTAGCACTACTGAAGTTTTTGTGGAATTCTGTTAGGTTTATACAGTGCGATGCCTCGAGATATCCTGATAGTTGTGGGAAATGAGATTATTGAGGCTCCCATGGCATGGCGCGCACGTTTCTTTGAATACCGAGCATACCGATCAATTATCAAAGACTACTTCCACCGTGGTGCCAAGTGGACCACGGCTCCTAAGCCCACGATGGCTGATGAGCTTTATGACCAGGTAAGTCCCTAATAATAGATAGTTCATTGGTAACTTTTCTAAATAACCCAAAAAGGGTAAGGTACAGATTCCCTGATACCTTATATATATAATACATTTTAGAAATAGAAAATTTAAAAAATGTTTTATGATCAAAGTAAGCATAAATGGGGCGGCACCTATAGCTCAGTGGGTAGGGCGCCGGCCCCATATACTGCCGGTTGTGAGTTCAAACCCGGCCCCAGCCAAACTGCAACAAAAAAATAGCCAGGCGTTGTGGCAGGTGCCTATAGTCCTAGCTGCTTGGGAGGCTGAGGCAAGAGAATTGCCTAAGCCTAGGAGTTGGAGGTTGCTGTGAGCTGTGATATCATGGCACTCTGCCCAGGGCGATAAAGTAAGACTCTGTCTCTACAAAAAAAAAAGCATAAACGATCTTTTAATAGTACTACTATCAGTAATAGCTAACAGTTACTCAGTACTTACCTCGTGTCCTGTCCTGGGCTTAACTCCTTATTTGTGTTCTTAATCCTGTTTATTCTTCACAGCACCCTGACAAGGGAATACTGTAGTATCACTTCATTATAAGGAGGAAAACTTGCCTACTGGTGCACTGCTCTTCATTAGTGGAACTAGAAAAGTCCCAAGGCTGAAGTTCATTTTCTTCTCTTAGAAAAGGAACCTGCTCCACAGGCTAAATTCATAGTAAAATGGAATGTATTAAATATGTGTCTTATTCAGTCACTTACTATTTGGTCATTTATGGAAAAAGTTAAAAAATCAAAATTTTCTTCTAGGGATTTAAGGACAGAAATAAATAATTAATTTTGCCACACTCAGTCAAATTTGGCAGAGTAGGCATGGCATCTCATAGGCTCAGGGCCATCTTTCTTTTCTAAAAGAACAAAATGGCTTCATCCTATTGACTTTCAAATACTGTAGGTAGCGCCATAAATGAATGTATGGATCATGGAATATTTTCAGAATCAGTTACTATCCCTGTACCACTTCTTAAGTACAGTAGTCCCCCCTTATCCTCAGGGGATACGTTTCAAACCCCCAGTGAGTGCCTGAAACTGTAAATCACATTGAGTCCTATATATATTATGTTTCTCCTATACATGTGTACTTAGGATAAAGTTTAATTTATAAATTAGGCACAATAAGAAGTTAACAACCGTAACTAAAAACAGAATAATTATAACAATCTACTATAATAAAAGTGATGTGTATGAGGTCCACTCCCACCTCTCAATCTCTGTCTCTATCACAATATCTCAATATTTTCAAACCACGATTGACTTCAAGTAAGTGAACTGGGGGAAGCAAAATCATGGATAAGGAGAGACTTCTGTATTATTATCGTAATGCTCGTGTTTTGTTTTGTTGTTTTAGTTTGTTTATCATGCATCATTCCCATGCATGTTTTAGTCTAGGATCAAGGAGTAGTATTTTGGGAAATTATGTTGAACTAATTTTAAGATAATGTATACATCGTTAATAATTTTCTCATGAACCAACACATTGTGTGTGTTCATTCTTGTTCCCAATTAGGATTATCCCATCCATTCTGTAGAAGACAGACACAGATTGGCTGCTCAGGGAAAATTTGTGACAACTGAGTTTGAGCCATGCTTTGATGCTGCTGACTTCATTCGAGCTGGAAGAGACATTTTTGCACAGAGAAGCCAGGTTGATAAAGGCTGCCTCTGAAGTTTTACTCTATATTATCGTGTTTTTTTATTTCCAAATTAAAATATTCCATCCTAAATATTTTTTAGTTTTCTAACCATAGAACCAAATCTTTTACAGCTTGTACTTCTCCCTTTTACTTTCAGGTTACAAACTACCTGGGCATTGAATGGATGCGTAGGCATCTTGCTCCAGACTACAGAGTGCACATCATCTCCTTTAAAGATCCCAATCCAATGCATATCGATGCCACCTTCAACATCATTGGACCTGGTCTTGTGCTTTCCAACCCTGACCGGCCTTGTCACCAGGTAAAAGGGTTCTTAGGACTCTGAGAAAGCAATAAAGTCTAGCAACTAAAGTAATTGCCACTTTTATTTTAAAATAAAATAAATAGGAACCCCATGGTTCCTAGGGGTTCTAACTGACAAATTCACAGTGCTCACCATTGTGATGATCAAACATTGGATTGATTATGGTGTGTGTATTCCATGATGTCCAGTACTCAGAAATATATATTGTTGCCATGATAATTAGTGTAGTATCATCAAACTTTGGCTGCTTACTCTTATCAGAGCTTCAAGTTTGTGCATATGTGTGTATTTTTATTAAAGTTTGTGCATATGTGTGTATTTTTATTATCTCATAACTTGTAGCAGTGGTTCCACAGCAGCTGAATGCAAGATGATCTCTGCATGGCAAGGGCCATGTCACTGGGCAGTGGGTGTCTTCCCCCTCCAGTGGAGCAGGCTCCCTGTAGCCAGCTCCACCCTGCAGGGAGGAGCAGAGCCATTGCCCTGGAGCTGTTCTGTCCCCATCACCAGCAGCTTCCTACTTTCTGTCTGTGGCCCGCTACTTCCAGTTGGGTTGTGAGTGATTTTGTTATTTGCAAAGCTGCAGTACACCTTTTTAAAACCACTGTTATACTGTGTCCCTGTTCATTCCTCTCCCTGATTTTTGGCTAGAGACCAAGATAACTTATTCATTTTAATATTACTAATCAATATATCAAGTGGGTCTATGAACACAGGGACAGCTGAGTTGTACTAGGTCACTGAAGACAATTATGGTTCTTTGAGAATACATCCCTATCATTTGCCTTTATACCATGATCATAAATACAAAGCAGTAGTGAAATGGATGGACTACAGGTTTGACGTAGTCACTTTTTTGTTTTCTTATAACTAAACAGGAAATATTTTTGTTTTTTAAAATGAGAGTTTCTGACGGTGCCCATAGCTCAGTGGGTAGGGCATCAGCCACATAGACCAAGGCTGGCAGGTTCGAACCCAGCCCAAGCCAGCTAAAATCAACAATGACAACTGCAACAAAAAATAGTCAGGCATTGTGGCGGATGCCTGTAGTCCCAGCTACTTGGGAGGCTAAGGCAAGAGAATTACTTAAGCCCAAGAGTTTGAGGTTGCTGTGAGCTATGACACCATAGCAAGGGCAACATAGTGAGACTCTGTCTCAAATAAATAAATAAATAAATAAATAAATAAAATGAGAATTTTAGGTATTTTAAATTTCTGAAATCTGAGAAAAGCACAAAAGTTTAAAAGTTTTAATATTTCTGTTACTTTGAAACTTTAATCTGGGGACTTTATATATATTTTTTTAATAAGGCTTCAGACAGAACCATCCAAATGTTTTGAAATTTTAATTTCTTTGTTTTGGCAATTGAAAGACAGCTTCTCAGGAAGAATTACTAATAATAAGTGCTATCAGAGACCAAAAATAATAAAAACAATATGTATGGATTTAAGCCTCTTTGGGTTTTTCTGGTCTTGCAGATTGATCTTTTCAAGAAAGCAGGGTGGACCATAGTTACTCCTCCAACACCAGTCATCCCAGATGGTATGTTTACTTTTATATACATATGGACTAAAATGTTTACTTTAGTGATCAGGGACCTTTCACCTATAGAGAGCAGCCCAAGTGTTAGCAACATTAGAGAAAATGTTTCCCCTGTGAGGTATAAAGTAGTGCTTGGAACTAGGAGTACTAGCATAGAGCTGGGACTTGTGTGTGCAACTTTACCTTCCATAGAAAATGAAAGTGAGAAGACACATTAAAACAGCATCACGTGAAGCAAGATACGCCTTTTTGAGGAAAACAGAGTGAAATTCAAATGTGTAATAAATATAGATTGATTCACAAACTTTTATAGATAAATGGAAAGTGAACTACTGAAAAAATTCACTTTGATATTCTTCACTTCAAGTAAATCCTTGCTTTAGACAAAAATGATAGCAGACACGGTTTAACAGTTGTTACTGTTTTTAGATCATCCACTCTGGATGTCGTCCAAATGGCTTTCCATGAATGTCTTAATGCTAGATGAAAAACGTGTTATGGTGGATGCCAATGAAGTCCCAATTCAAAAGATGTTTGAAAAGCTGGGTATGTACAATAAATGAAGCATGTTGTGTATGAAAACGTTAAATGAGAAGAACCAAAGAAATGATAAACTAGGTCTGACGTATGGTTTATCTAATTTAATTTCTATTCCTTTTAGAGGCACCAGGTTATTATTTTTCAGATTTCCAGCATTTTTGTTTTCAATAAGCATAGCCCCTCAAAAGGTTGAAGATGCATCCTGAGTGCCTAAGCTTATCAATCTTCTATGACTTAGCCAACCTCCTGGTACCCATGGGTGGAGAACTACCCCTTTGCTGATGAACATATAGAGTGGTCAGCTCTTCCCCAAATAAGAAATTGTTGAGGGTCCTTTAAAAGTAATTTAATTATAATATCATCATATATTTTAAAGTGCTTATATGAGTATAGATATAGAAGTGACTTATGTATATGAAAAGCACAGTTAGCAAAGTAATGAAATGTAATTGAGAGTGTCAGTAAATCATTCAGCTTTGAACCGAAGAGCAAGACTGGCTTTTTGCTTGAGTGGGAGTTTTCTTATCCTGAGATTCAAAATTTAGGCCAGTGAGTCTAATACAGTTGAAAAAAAAATTGAATGAAAGGATTTTCATATAGCTATTATATATATATATGTATATTTATCACACTTAACATACTTGATGTTATCCTGAGTGTCAATTAAATAAAGCCAGGCAGTTTATTTGTTGAATTTAGTCATTAAGATATAAAATGGGCTTGGCATCTGTGGCTCAAGCAGCTAAGGCACCAGCCACATACACCTGAGCTGACGGGTTTGAATCCAGCTCAGGCCTGCCAAATAACAATGACGGCTGCAACAAGAAAAAATAGCTGGGCATTGTGGCGGGTGCCTGTAATCCCAGCTACTCAGGAGGCTGAGGCAAGAGAATCACTTAAGCCCAGGAGTTGAAGGTTGCTGTGAAGTATGATACACCACCAAGGGCGATAAAGTGAGATTCTGTCTCTATAAAAAAAAAAAAAAAAGATATAAAATGTACCATATATCTTAATATTTCAGATATACTATCCAGAAGAAATTATTTGCCCCTGTGACACTTCTCTCCTAGTGTAGTATCAGTTTTAAAAGTTTGGCCTGTCAGTTTTAGATTGAACCCTAATGATACGACCCCTATTTCTATGCCACTTTTTTACCCCAGGTTTTGTTAAATAACCCAGTTGCCGGTGTTCATTTTCTTTGTCTATTAAGATTTTGTTGATTCTTAACTTAAAATGGTATAAAGTAACAAATACCTAATTTGTAATTTTAGTAAAGTCTATTTAGACACAGAGAACTTGTCAAAGTAAACTTTATCAAGCAAATGAATTTCCTAACCATCTCGTTCTATCAGAAGACTTCTGCTCACGTTTGCAAGCCCACTCCTTACCCCAGATCCATTTATTACCCTTGTCCAAACCCTATCCTCCCTCTTAGTCTTACTTTCTCGGGGAAGTCTTCCTGAATGACTTATGCCTCCTCCCTCTCTCAGACTATACCAGTAGACACTATGGTGACTCTGTAGCTTCTCTGCCCCCTTTAACATAATGAGTTCCTTGAAGGAGGAGAACAGATTTTCTTTTTAAGACCTCACTATTTTAATGCAACAGATTCTTCCTAAATATGGTAGTTAAAGTAGGCCGTGCACATCACAGCCTTGACATTACAGATGGTACTAGATCTGTACACTAACTTTGATGCCATGGCACTCTATCCAGGGCGCCACTAACTTTGGCACCTATCTAACCAACCCCAATGTTAAAATGCCAGCTCTGTTCTTTTGTTTCCTTAAGGTGGCTTGGTAAAGTTAATTTATATCAAATAAACTCTCCTTTTGTGTCAGTATATGACGTCAACTTTTCAGTTTGGGTAACTTATGCTTTTCTTACTAAGTTAACACCGTAAAATTAGAAACAGACTGAAAAATTAAAAGTATAATTCTAAAAAGCTTTAACAATTTAGTACTCAATTGTTTTGAATATTTGGTAGGTATATATGCTCAGCCAGTCTATTGACTTGTGAATAGTCAATAGAACAAAATTCTAGAGTCTCTGTTGATTTTTTGATGAACACTTTATAATAGCAATGGAGTGGATTAGATGAAATATAGTTGGTGAAAATAAAATTGCAAGAGAGGAAAAGACTATTCTGCACTGGGGTAGCCTTAATGATTAGAACCCAGGGATCCCTGACAAGTTTTTAGGCTTCCTTTCTGTAGGAAAATCTTTATGTTAATTCATATACTGACCCCATCTCTTTTTCAATGCAGGTATCAGTACCATTAAGGTTAACATTAGAAATGCCAATTCCCTGGGAGGAGGCTTCCACTGCTGGACCTGTGATGTCCGGCGCCGAGGCACCCTGCAGTCCTACTTTGACTGACCAGGCCTGATGGAGCTTGTGGCTGGCATAAGACACACCTAAGAAGCATATGGGCAAGGTTCTTTCTCCTGCTTTAAAAGTGCATGAACTGTAGTGCTTTAAACAATCATCTCCTTAACAGGGATCTTCAGCCTGGTTTACTTTTATTACTTTTCTTTGGCATAAGGAAATAACTTCTCCTAGGTATTACTCTCTACTCCTAAAGTTATTTACTATTTGGCTTCAAGTGTAAAATTTTGATGAATGTGTACCAAGACAAAAATTAGTCACTTGGGTAAGTTGGCCACTAATAATTAACCATCTACCTCTGTTTTTAATTTTCTTTCCAAAAGGCAGCTTAAAATGTTGGTCCTGATCTTGTTTTTTCCTTTTCAGTAGACTTGAGAATGTATTACTTCCTTTTTTCTAAATGAGAGAAATACTTAGAAGGTACACAGATCTTAGGTAGAACCAGATTAATTGTATCTTTTTCTAATAAGGGATTAGGTAATTTTACATTTTTTTGTTTTTAAAGAAATAACCTAGACTGTGCAAATGTTGAAGTGAATTTCCCATGAGTATTTTTAATATTCTCATCTCAACATTAGTGATACGTGTAACTAAAAACCTTTTCATACAACTTACCTCATTTTAAGTGAATTATTTTAATCTTCTCCTCTTTTTCTAAAATTACAGAAATATTTAGTGTAATAGAATATAACTATCAGTTCTTATCCCTAAATTTTGATATTCAACGTCCAGTAAATAAATTGCATATTTGGTAATTGCAACTTGTTTATAGATCTGCAGATTATTTAAAGCATAGACTTTAAAAGCATTAAAAAAACTAATGGAGATAAAACCTACATGTGATACAAAATAATTATAATGTTGGATACTGTACATGTATTTTTATTCTAATAAACTTTTGTGTTCCAGACTGCGTTTTATTGGAGTTTGGCATCAATTATTTTAGTGCAAGTAAACTATAGGAATATGACTCTTGAAATACAATTCTAATTCTATATAGTAATCAACATATTCATCCCAAATTTAAACCTAATACTTATATTCAGAAGTGTTTATTAATTAATTTACTCATTTAAGAATAACTGAATATCTTCTGAGCGTAACTGACTAATCCGAGGCCACAGAAAGGAAAAGAATATTTTTATTCATGAATAAGGTACATAATGTATTTTGAAATAAGTCGCAGGGTTCAACCATTCCTTTCCCAGCATTTTTATATCTCCTTTGTATCCTGGCGTCATTCTTTATCATAGAAGCACCTGTTAGTTCTACACTTGGACTGAGTCCTACTTGAGAAATCTATGCAGTTGTGTGGATTGGTGCACATGTCATAGGGTATATATTGCCAGGGCTAAATACTGCTCAGTGGTTCTGCCATATACATCGCTGCATTCTTCTCAGTAACTGTTCCAAATTTTCACTACGTTTCTGAGCTGATTTTTTTTTTTTAACAGAGAAATAGAGATCATCAGGCATTAGTTCCTTAAGTTTACAATCCCTTTTAGATTTACACCCATTTGCATACTCTGATTAAGTTTCTCTCTCCTCCTTGCTTATAGTAGTCCCCCCTTATCCTTGAGGGATGTGTTTCAGGCCCCCCTGTTGATGTCTGAAATCACTGATAGTGATAGTACCAAACCTTGTATATACTATGCTTTTTCCTATACATATAGACCTATGATAAAGTTTAATTAAGTTAATCTGGTCCAACACATTGTACCATCAATTGGAACACATTTCTGTTCATGTCTTCCACTCACAAATTTAATTCCTTTTCTTAACTAAGGACACTGTGGCCATAACTTTTGCAGTTTGAGGTGCAGCAGCAAAACTAGCCTGAATTTCTTTTTCCTTCACAATTTCATGGGTTTGTTCTTACCATGGATCTCAGCAACTTCAACATACGATTTGATAATGAGACAGCTACTAAGTGGCTAAAGGGCAAGTAGTATAGACTATGTGGACGTTCTGGACAAAGGGAGAATTCACATCCAGGCAAGGGCAGAGTGGGAGGAAGAAAAATTTCATTGCTAGTCAGGATGGTATGTAGTTTAAGACCTACAAATTGTTTATTTCTGGAATTTTCCATTTACTGTTTTCAGACTGTGGTTGACTGCTGGTGACTGAAACCCCAAGAAGTGAAAGACACCCCTCCGATAGAGGGGTGTCTGCTGTACCAGCTAAGCTTCTAGAGAGAAAGTCAGGCCTTCATCTACTTCACTTATATTCATTTTCAACCCTCTATAAAGTGACACTTCTCACACTGCTACAGAAGATGTGAACCTTCTGACCAAGTTTGATGTATGTGCACACACACACACACACACCCCATCTGGTGATCCTAATCTCTCTCTTGGGAACTTGCTACACCAATTATCTTCCTTGTAACTCTAGCACCGTATGTGTATGTTTGTATAGAGGGATTATCCCCTCTTGGAAAATAGTCAT